GTCAAAAGGCATGGATTAATCAACTAACATTCACTGCAGGCAATTTACCAAGTGCTCTTTACCTGTGTATGCAATCTAATCTCCTGCCTAGCTCTGAAGCTGGAACTGAACTTCACACTGAAGTGAAATTATTGACTCTCCATTTAAGAACAGAGCCTTGACAGATTATAATTCTGACACGTGTCCTCCTGTGGGCAGAAGGGCCTAAGCTAATAGTTTCATGAATGTTCTCTATGCTTCCCACATTAATTCTTTTAAGTAGTATTGTTTATTTAGAGATGATTCATCAAAGTGTATGGTGGTCCAGAGCCTTGTCCACAAGTGAGTGGGTAAAGTTTCTCACCACCAAGCCTGAGGAGCTGAGTTCAATCCCTGAGACCCACATGGTGAAGGGAGAGACCTGACTTCTTCAAGTCATTCTCTGACCTCTACATGCATCTGGGTAACTCACGTGCCCCTATTCCCCTAAAAATAAATTATGTATTTTTTGAATTGTGAAAATCAAGCAAAACCTTGTTCCATGTCTTAGTTAGGGTTTCTATCAATGTGAAGAGGCAGCATGACTACAGCAACTCTTATAGAGGAAAAGAATTTAATTGGGGCAGCTTGCTCATAGTGCAGAGGGTTAATCCATTATTGTCATGGCAGGACATGGGGACATGCAGGCAGCCATGGTGCTGGAGCTGAGAGTCCTACATCTTGATAGGCAGACAACAGGAAGTAGTCCAAGACACCAGGTGGTATCTTGAGCATATATGAGACCTCAAAGCTTGCTGTCACAGTGACACTCTTCTTCCAACAAGTCCACACTCACTCCGACAAAGCCACACCTGCTGATAGTGTAACTCCCTCTGGGGGCCATTTTCTCTCAAACCATCACATTTAGTTCTGTACAATGTGTTGCTAGATTTGGAATTGAAAATCATTGATTCTAAGGTCGACATTAATACTCCATGTTGCCTTAGTGCCCTTGGCACTGGCTACCAAAAACAAAACAAAACAAAACAAAACCTTCAATACATAGTGCCCATGCTTATTACTTCCAGCCAATATTTCCCAGTATGGAATCAAGAGCTATTAATACTATATGATCTATCACCTATACTTTCATATGGTTTGAAAAGAAACCTACAGGACCATTATGTTGATTCTTAAAAATGCAAAACAATTCCTTCAAAATCTACAACAGAGCCAGGCCTTTTGGCTCAGCCTATAATTCCATCTATTGTAAAGACAGAGGCAGAAGCACTACTAGTTCAAAACCAGCCTTGTCAGTTTAGGAAGACCTTATCTAAAAAAAAGTAAGTGTGTGTGTGTGTGTGTGTGTGTGTGTGTGTGTGTTGATATAGCTCTATGATACAATACTTGCCTAGCTTATATGCATGAGGAAGATAATAGTGGGTACATTACTTCAACTAAAGTAAAAGAAAGACAAACTGTGAGAGAATGTAAATTAGTAATTAGCACTGTTTATCCTGCTTCTTGCAGGATATGAGCAAGGGACAATGGAATCATAAGTGAAGAATGCCAGACAAAATTCTTGTCATTGTCAGAATCCATCTTAGTAGACCAAATCTACAAGTCTCTTCACTCTGTGTGTCCAACACCACAGGAAAAGTCCTGTTCTGATGTGAGCACTTTGTATTTGCATATCTTTGATGCAATCTAACTACGCGAATATATATCTAACATCTAGAATTAGGAGATTTTATGTAAGCAAAGCATACTTCTGCTTTTAGCTGATGGGTGTACTCTACATTATAACAGGAGTCAGACCACTTTCATATATGAAATCACATAACCCAGACAAAATGTTTGAAACATGACAGGAGAAGATGCTGTGAACCCCATGACTATCCCTGCTGATGACTAGAGAGGAATTCAGGCCACTGTCTGGCAAGAACTCAGGCTTTACCTGACAAATTCCCAGAACTGGACCAACAAGGCTTTGAATCTGGGGAGACAAAGGTGGGGGAAGTTCACAAAATACAGAGTTTGAGACAGAACCATAGAAGTCTGCAGAATATCCTGAGCTGTGTGTTGATCGCTGCATGCATGTGATGAAACTGCCCACAGTTGAATCAAGGACCACCTAAGAAGATTAAAAAAAGCACTGTGAACTTACATTGTGTTAGAAATACTCTCCATGTCTGCTATCCTAACTGGAAAACACTATTATTTATGGGATTATAGGCAGATTACTCAGAGGGATTTGTCTTTGTGGTAGGAACAGCTAGCAATTAGCTTTCCACTTAACAAAGTTCTGACTGACCAAAAGATATCAAAATCCTGACTGAAAGAAGCAGGCTGCATCCTGGGACAAAGCTCAAGAGTGTTTGCATTCATGGGGACACAAATATCCAGCAACCAACTAAGTAAAATTCATAAAACATGGTGTTCAATCAAGGCATGCAAGGTGTGAACAGAACGAGGAAAATATGACCATTAAGGAAGAGGAAAAAAAATCCATGAATGAAAAACAATGCAGAACTCACACAAATGTTGGGATAGACAAAGCTATTGATAAGTTTTTTATTTATTTATTTTTTATTAGTTCAAACTAGGAACAAGTTTGTTTCACATGTCAATCCCTTCTCCCTCTTCCTCTCCCTCCCCTCCCCCCACCCAGACCTATCTCCCACCCCATCCACCTTCCACTCCTCAGGCAGGGTAGGGCCCTCAACTGGGGCGTCGCAAACTCCACCACATCATCCTGGGCTGAGCCTGGGCCCTTCCCCATGTGTCCAGGGCAAGAGTGCATCCCTTCATGTGGGATGGGCTCTCAAAGTCCCTTCTTACACCAGGGAAAAATACTAATCCACTTCCAGTGGCCTCCTAGAGTGCAGAGGCCTCCTTATTGACATCCATGTTCAGGGGTCTGGATCAGTCCTGTACTGGCCTCCCAGACAGCATCTGGGGTCAATGTGCTCCCCCTTGTTCAGGCCAGCTGTTTCTGTGGGTTTTCTACAACCTGGTACTGACCCCTTCGATCTTCATTCCTCCCTCTCTGCAACTAAGTTCCAGAGTTCAGTTCAGTGTATAGCTGTGGATGTCTGCCTCTGCTT